GGACAGTGATCCCAGTTTTTTTTTAATCCTTGGACCAAACTACTGCAAAAAAATAGCCGCAGGCCCTTATAAAACCGTTGACAGGTCAATGTGTGCTTTAAACTGCTGAATAGCCTCCATCAAGGTTTGACTCTGTCTTTATCAGCACCTGTTACTCAGCATATCAAATCTTTAACGCCAGGGAAAGAACTTTCAATTGCATAGATCCCCACACACACATTTTACTGTTCACATAAAGAAAAGGCATTTTCAGCATTTTCCCCTCCCCCTCCCTTATTCCACACGAAATACCACAGAGTGCTTTGTATTACTTTGAATCCTGCTTTCCGTGCCAGCATAGCGGCGTTCATCTAGGAGGCCGGACTGCACACATAAAACGCCACTTCGGAGCCTTCCTCTGGCCTAATAAAGTTAAGTGGCTCCATCAGCTAATGGGAGACTGTTGAGAGGGAACAGTCCAGCAAAGCTGAAAAGGGAAGGAATTGTACACCGAGGTGATTTGTTCAGAAGACGTAGTGGCTGTCTTTTTTCACAGCATCTTTTTTTAAAAAAAACACGCCTTAGTGAGTGGCTTGTCACCCACATAACCCTTTATATTATGGAATGAATTGGTCCAAGTAGGGAGACAGGCATGTGAGGAGCATTCTATTGGAAACGGCTAAGAGATTTGGTACAATTGGGCGTTTTACAAAGGCCGTCAAATGGAAATCAATCCATAAAATTATATTCTATACCCAGAAGATGTGACTGAAGCATATTAAAAAGGCAAAAGAAACGGTGGAGTAAACAAAAGGAGGGCAGCCTGACCTACATCACAGGACTGTGGTGAGGATAAAGTTGGGGGGTGGGGAGGGAGCCATGTATGCCACTTTGAATTTGTTTGAGGAAAGGTGGGGGTATAAATGTAATGATGATGAAACATGTATGCATTGCAATTAATTCAGAGAGAACACTTTTCAGATCAGCCTGTCTTTACATCCGCAGTGAACCTGTTCATGGCAAGGAGCCAGAAGCTGCAGAATAAAAATCCAGGTTGCTTTCCACCCCATAAAACTTTAATTCTAGCCCCAAGCTGATGGAGATATAACTATTTGTTTCTTCACCAGTGATTGTTCCCACACCTGAATAGCCTGGTAGATAGCATTTATGTGATGCTGTCACAAGGCATCTGCTTTCACAGCAATGTATCGCGTTAATCTACCTTGCGAAAACAAAGTCCTAACTCTCTTCATTCACTGATGTACATTCAACATGTGCTCTTACATCAATATGGTCTCCTTTTTAAAAAAACAACAACTGCACAAACACTTCTAAAGCTCCCCCCTTCCAAGGCTGAAAGACAGTTGAATGTTGTCTGTCCATGCAGTGATGTTCACCTTTCTGGCAAATGAGGAATTAATGTGAATGCATGAAAAAGCACCAATGGTGTGATCTTTGCCTCTTCAACTTTCATAGCAATATGTGTAGTAGTGCTGGATCTAAAGAAGCTTCCCCCAGCTTTCAGATATTTGGGACTGCAACTCCAGTCATCTCCAGCCACACTGCCTTGGGCTGATGAGAGTTGTAGTCTAAAATAATAATTGGTGGCGGCAGCAGCATTTTGTGATGGGGGGCCATCATTCTGAAGCCAACTTGTTCACAGCTACATTGAGCAACATTGGTCATGTCAGAATGACTGACAGTGGCTTGGATCCAAAGAACTACGAGCAGAAGGAGAATGGGTACAAGTGCTGTTCCTTGAGCAATCGCTACCATAAGATGTCTCCCTGTGCAGCACCATAGTTTATTGAGGGTTGTGCCATGGCATGCTTAGATGTATTGGTACTTCCCTCATCACACACCTGGTTTGAACATCTGGTGATGACATATAGCAGGATGTACACACACCCCAAAATGCTATAGCCGCCAGAGTGTGGAATGAAGACAAGATGAAAACTGTCTTGGTATAGCATATGTCCAACCAACAAGAAGACCCACAAATGTATGACTACTTGCAATATGTTTCATCATACAAACAAATGAGAACAGGGCAGTGAACAACAGCAGATGATGAAACAACTGGCTATAGATCAATTTCAACACGTAAGTCTTTTTCAAATATGTCCCAGTTAGTCCTAAGTCCTTGGGAAAGAAAGAAAACAATTGTCTTTGAGGAATGCAGTCAAATGTTTCCTAGTTTATTATCATCTAGCTGCTCTGTATTTTATTATTGATTATTCTGTTTTCATGTGCTTGTTCATTGAAGTATACTGTTAAACCTGTGGGTCATATTGTTGGTTGTGAATGTTACATAGGGACCTTAATTTCATATCATAATTTCATATCCTTTGTATAAGGCATGCAGAAGAGGCAGATCAAAACAGAGGACTCCATCCCATGGCTTCCCATTTTCAGATGCAAGCCTTACTGAAGATAATGCACTCAAATAAGCCAAACCACCTTAGCTTTTAAAGTCATTCCAACCAATTGTAAATCTATATGTTGTGATGCAGGGTTGCCAGGAAAACCTAATGGATGTCTTTTGACATCAATAAAGTCCTATAAATAGATCAAATGAAACTATGAATCAAAGAGTAAACAGAAAGTCTTGTGACATCAGGCTTGCTTCACTGAATATTAGCACTATAGCAACAAGGTTTTCCTAGGACTCTTGCAGTATGACTCTCTACAGGTTTACTCAGTCCCACTTGTTTCAAAGAGGCATCATCCCAAGTAATTGTAGAGAGAGCCTGCAACACTGACCCCTTAGGGGAAAAAAGAGCACTATTCCATCAACCTTCATCTGCCCTCATCCAGCCCCCAAATTACACCTTCTTACTTATAACAAGTCCAGGGAGTGATAATGCCATCATCTTCCACCTCCTTCGTCTCAGTGCTGCCCTTGTAGAACTCAGTGGGGAGGAGGAATTAGTTGGCTCCATCTGTCATTGGCTGTGGCTCCACCTACTGCTGGGCCTCCGGCTTTCCACCCTACGTGTCCCAATAGTGAGAAGTGGGTGGAGCTGTGGTCTGAACCACTGAGCCTCTTGGGCTTGCTGATCGTAATGTCAGCAGATCAAATCGGCACAACAGGGTGAGCTCCCGATGCTTTGTCCCAGCTCCTGACAACCTAGCAGCTCGAAAGCATATCAGCACAAGTAGATAAATAGGTACCGCTGTGGTGGTATGGCAAACGGCATTTCCGTGCACTCTGGCACTCGTCACAGTGCTCTGTGTGCCAGAAGCGGTTTAATCATGCTGGTCACAGGACCCGGAAAGCTGCTGCAGAAAAACACCAGCTCCCTCGGCCTGAAAAATAGAGATGAGTGCCACATCCCATAGTTGAATTTGACTGGACTTAACTGTCCAGAGGTCCTTTACCTCTACCTATGGGTCCCAATAGATACCAGTCACCATGGCCTGCAACTTTAAATTCCTTAGTCATACCTAGTATGCCAAAACATATAAAGCTGGGTCTCACAAACTTGTATCTCCATCTGTTTTTGGACCACAATCCCCATCATCCCTGACTACCGGTCCTGCTAGCCGGAGACCCAAGTTTGAGAAACCCTAATCTAAAGGAACCCTGCTTGAGATATGTACATTTATAAGATGGTGCAAAATTAATTCTTCTGTTCAGTCATTGCCCCTTGAATATCTAAAAAAGTGTTCCATCTAGCATAAGGTTACCAGAATGAATCCGGGGACACTTTTCAACTTCAGTAGGAATGATAGGATTTTGTATGGGGACTGATTTGTAAATCTGGGGACTGTCCCCAGGAAACGGGGACATCTGGTAACCTTAATCTAGCAGGAACTATTGACTGACATTGTTTCCACTTTCCCTCACTCTTTATAAGCACAATTAACTTTCTGAGCTCGTACTCCTTGGTAAAGGGTTACTCTTGCCTACTTATTATTCAATATTTCCCCTATAAACATTCATTAAAAGGACGATACGGAGACCAAACTTAGTATTCAAGCTGGAAAATAAAGATCAGGAACTAATGAACTCCTTTAGAGTTTCCACTTTCTGAAAAACACCCTTGGCAATAAAGAATGAATAAAGAAAAGCAGTAAATTGCACTGATTATGTTATATCAGCAAAATTGCTTCTGAAAATGTCTTCCATGAAGCATAGCTAGCAAGTTAAGTTAACGAACTACTCCCTGGAGGTATCTTTTGTTATATGTGGGCTCAGTCCCGCTGGAGACTGCTGTAGCACATCCCCCCATTCATTTGATGAAAGGGGATGGCAGAGCAGCGGGGGCTGATAGATTGAGCCCACTTGTCAAGCAAAAAAAGGCTCCAGGAGCATCATGAGCCCAGTGTGCTGCTGCCTTCTTATGACCTAACTTTCAGTTATTTTAAATATTCGGGGGGGATACAGTGACTGCTTCTCAAAGAGGACTGAGACTGAAACAAACCCTCTCCCATTTCAGTTTTTGGGTCAGAAGTAGTAACTCTGAAGAGTTTCTCCCAAAAAGCTTTCTGTAGGCATATTCACCCCCTCTAAAGAATCTTCTTCACTGTTATAGTTTCTCCTGTCTGTTGTTATTCACCCCCTCCAAAGAATCTTCTTCACTGCTATAGTTTCTCCTGTCTGTTGTTATTCACCCCCTCTAAATAATCTTCTTCACTGCTGTAGTTTCTCCTGTCTGTTGTTATTCACCCCCTCCAAAGAATCTTCTTCACTGCTATAGTTTCTCCTGTCTGTTGTTGTTTTGACACTATCTTTGGATCACATACCGAGCAGGATGTCAATGAAGACACTAGGTGGCCAATCGTATGCTGCTTTGCAATGATGCCACAGAGGGCAAATGAAGCCAACTGAATGTAAGGGAACTGCTTCATGTTGAACACACAATGAAAGGGGTGACATCACAACACGGCATGGCCAATCAGAATTGCCTCTGTGCCAGTGTCATGGAAAGCAAAGAAAGTCATTTCAGAATAAGGACTATGCTTCAGTGCGTTTGAAGGAATGAGTAAAAAACCATAGCCTTTTGATGCTCCTGAAAATGTTTGCGAACAAGCGGCAATGCTTCTGGCTTACATGGATTCACAACGGGAGGTTTCTTTTGAAAAAGAGGACTGGAGACAACATCCTGGTAATGTTCTACAACTATAGATTCCATTTGAGACTAAGGAAAAATGAGATGTTCTCATTAGAAGCGATTTTGAACATACGACGAGCCAAAGTGCAAACGAATTTTGCATGGTCTGAACTACCTAGTTACCAAGCAGCCTTTTGCATATTACATTTTTCAGAGTTCATCTATTTTAAACTGCCCTATACATACTTGAAAATGAGTGATGCAGTGCCATGCTTTGCAGCAATTTATCTGATGGCATGTGCTAAATTACTTAGATTGGCTAAAACCAGTTAGCGCGTTGTTAGGCGTAATACATCATAATGTACCCAGGAACTTTCAGAGAGGGTAAAAGCTGATGAAGATTGAATGTGTTTCAAGCATTTCAAATCCCTTGAAACAAAACAGAAATTAGTGTCAAAGAATGCTTATTTAAGAGTTGATGCAAGCCAACAGGCCTAGTTAGCAACATACATATTGACACTCCAGTCCTAAATACACTGCCAACAATCCAGCACAGAGCTATAGACAAGCACAAAACCCATCAATTTAGACTCGAAGTGCCTGAAAGCAACCATGGCTATTATGTGGAAGTGCAATTCACTGACTGCTGAAACCTACTTCCAAGGAGGGATGCTACAGATTGTGGCCTATGTAACATCATTGTGGCGTTTGTCTCCTAGGTGATATCATGCTGGGTCATAAGGAAAGGGTTAAATGAGTGTGAAGTGATTGGCCAGTAGGAACCCACAGGAGGAGTTAGAGTTAGAGTTGTTAAGGAGTCAGTCGGGTGTTAGAGAAGAGAGAGGGAGGATAAGTCTGTGGGTTGGGATAGTTTGATGTGAGATAGTGAGGGAATCTGTTAAGAGGAGTCAGATAGACAGTTGGGATAACCAGTTAGAAGTTATTAGGAAGGTATAGGCTGGTAAAGAAACTAAGATTAAGAAACTGACAAGAAAAATTATCTGAAACCATAAACTTGTTAATGCTTATAAAATAAACTTGTGTACCCGAGAGAAACGGGTTGGTGGCAGCGGGGAAGCAATCACAGTGGTGGCAAAGGGATCAATAGACCGCCAAACGTCTGGGGACCCTGTGTGATCATAAAGTACCCATCACTCCGTTGTTGTTGTTGTTGTTGTTGTTAAATATTTATATATATCCTGCCTTTTCCCCTGATTGGACTCAAGGCAGCAGTTGAGGGTGACAGACAACAACCAATTATCTGAAGAAAGGATCCCTGGAAAGCAAAAGCCAATTTATTTATATATACCTCCATAAAAGTCTCAATAGACCTCCTTTTCCAAATTTTGTTTAAAATACACACACAAACCAGTTCTCTACACCCTTTATCTGTTCTGATTGTGCAAATAATAAAAAGGACTGACTAACCCTGACAGGAGACTGAAAATAGCATCAATACACAGATGAATTGCAAGCCCTGCTTTGCAGCTATTCCAAGACTGAAGTTTCAACATTCAATTGCATCCCCAACACCGTATCCTGTTGGCATATTTGTAAGGAACACAAGTCTACTTCTGTGCAGAGACACTTGGCACTCTGCTTTGATCTTCCTGCAGTAGATTTTCTTGCTGAGGAAGGAGCTACAATTGCACACTTTCCATAGCATCAAAGCCCCTGTCCTTTTCAGCTACTCTCTGATGAACAGGAAGGGACCCAGAGGGTGAGGTGAAATTTGGCTGCGGGTGATCTCTGGCTCACAAGCCGGAAGGGGGAGGAATGTGATGCAGTTCACATATAAAGGTGGAGCTGCCTAGTTTGCACCTTGTGAATCAATACGAGAACTGAAACACCACCGACTTTTGAAATGTGTGCTTCTCTGAATTTTGCAGAGCAGTTTTTTTGAGCAACATGATTAACACAAATGCATATGCTAGCGTCAAGTGTGTATATGAATGCATATAAGAGCATATAAAAGATTAAAATGCACAATATTTTTAAAAAATGTGTGTTGTAGGCAAAATTGCACAAAACACATTGAGAGAAATTCATACTACAATGCTGATGAAATTCCATGAAAATTTTGCATATTAAAAAAAAATGGAGTGAGGGGCTGCTGAGCACCCATTATACATGCTTCATGTGTAAATATTCAGAGTATGCACATGCTCTAAATATTTCATAAAAAATACCTTCAGGTGAGGATAATATTGCAAACTCAACTGTATTCCAGCGAGAACACAAATACTTCACAAACACCCCTTTCCTTTCCTTTTGTGCAAGCAATACAGAGGTAAAAACCCATGAGTATGTTTTTTAAAAGATACATGCATCGTCTGTGTGTGTGTGTGTGCTCGCGCGCACTTGAAATAGGTATAGGACACTAATTATATGTGCAACTGGGAGTGAAAGCAAATCTACAGGATTTCATATGGATCCGTTACTGAAACAAAGATAGCAATAAGCCCAAATGCCCTTACTAAGTTTACAAAGCTGAGGTATGGCAGTTCAGAGAGCACTTCTGCGTTCATTGTAAAGAGATGAAGTGAGATCAGGTTGCGTGCATATGCTAGGGCTTCAGAGGACCAAGGATGGTATTCAACTATATATTACTCAAAGTAGACCCACTGAAACTAAAGAACGTTTTAAGTTAGGCCCATTAATTTCAACTGGTCTGCTATGGGTAAAATTTAGTTGAATGCCACCCCAACTCTCTACTTCTTCAAAAGGCTCCTATTTGTATGTTCCTGAAACTAATAGCCATTGTCCGCATACAGCATTTCTTGCAGACCCTTTCTGAACAGCTCTTGTACTAGATGTAGGGATGTACTAAAATGTAGTAATTCTAGGGAAATGATTTTTATTTTGAAATTTGTTGCTACATTTCTATCCCACCTTTTCCTCCCCCATTCCCTTTTGATTTTACACCAACTCTGTAAGGGAGGCTAGGCTGAGGGAGTGTGACTGGTTCAAATTCACCAGGATGAGCTACATGGAAGAGCAGGGATTTGAACCCTCATCCTCCTGGATCTTAGTCCAACACTCTAACCACCATGCCACAACTGCCTAATAATTTCAGCCACTGTGTATTTCTGATAGTAACCTACTTTGCTATATATAAGCAAGCACTCCCATTCTAGAGCAAGTTTCCTTCTCTCTTAAAATGCTTATATCTCAGCATGACTGCAGAAAGGAAGGGGGGGGAACATGTATGCTGTTGAGGAAGTTTGATTTGCCCCTAGCCTGCCTCGTTATGTTGCTGAAAGCCAATGCACAAACTGACAGAAGCTTTTTCAATTGAAAGCAAGTCAATACTGCCTTACATCTTTGTCTGGTGGCTGACACTTCATTCCAAATTATTGTATATCAATGTGACATGCCTAAATGAAATGAGATTGCAACAGCCTCCAGAGGTTTTAAAGGCTATGCAAATATTTTCCTGTTAAGAACCTTGCTGTAAATGTAGTTTGTGTGTTTGTGTGTGTCCATGTGTGTGTCCACCCCCCTGCAATACAATCTCATATGGGAACTCTTACAAACTATATTTTTTATTATATACCTGAGAGAGATTGGGGGTGGGGGTGAGAGGGCTGTCAGCATAGCAAACAACACTATCAAGCCACACGTAAGTGCATGATTTTACCAGAAGATGCGAGTTAGGAGGCACTGAAAATCCTGGCCAAATGTTTTTTTGACTGGGCCTGCATAATATATTGTCCTCTACTCATTTTTCTTCTTCTCTTTTTCCTAATAGAAAAGAGCCCATTTCTACTTGCCTCCCCTCAGTTTATTTTGTTAAGCTATTAACATTTATTTTTTATAGAAGGTCTGTCAAAGGAGCATGCTGGTATTATTCCAAAGGCCAATCTCCTTAGCAACTCCTTTGTCTTCATCAGTATACCTTGATACAGTCCTGTCACTAAGAGAATTTTCATTTTGCTCTGGTGGAATATAATTGTTGATTCCTGAATCTGAAGAAAGCTGGTAATGCTGGCCATGAAAAGAAATAGCAGATTAAGCTAATTGTGAATTAACAGTGTTATATAGTGAAACATGCAACAGTATATAATACTAAACCATGATTTGTTAAACTATGATTTATTAAAGCATGGCTTTGTTTTATGTGTGAACTTAGTCCAGCGGCTTAACTAGGGTTTATTAACTAGCGTTAAGCATCACTGGTTAAACAGGGTTTGTAGCTGGTTTATAAACTTTAGTTAATGTTAACCAAAGCTTAGTGTTACATGCAATCCCGTACCTCCTCCTTAACTACAGCTACAGAGCTGTCACTGCCTTAGAATGTAGCAAAAATTTCAAACAAGATGATTCTCCACATTGTTGTTCACATGAATAATTCCTCATATTGCTTATTTATTTGTCTGCATATGCTTTGCCTTTCTACCCTTCAATATACTTCATACACAAATATATAGTCACAAGAACAAAAAGGCAAAGGATAGAAAATCAGTATGTTTATTGCACATGGCTAATAAAGTTATTATTAAAAAATACAATCAAAATCCTTTTAAATTGCCATGGATTTTGGAGTTTGGACTGGAAAATGGAAGTTTTGTTTGAGTCTTGAATTTTTGGAAGCTGGCACTCCTAAAGGACTTGTCTTTCACTTGAACTTTCCCCCCCTTATCTGTGACTTCTGACTGTCCAGGTGGGAATTAACAGAACTCACGGAACACCACAGAGAATAAAAATGCACTTAAAATAGCCCCTGTTCCTTCCTTCAATAAAATAGTCTCTGAAGAACCAGGCAGCACATGAACTATTGTGGAATGCAGAACAGCTGCTGTGTTCACTACAGAGTCCCTGAGCTGATTGTATCTAAGCTTATTATTGCAAAGCGCTATGGGACACCGTGACTATCAAAGGAGCCACTTAAAAGAAAATTCTGCTCTAGTCCATAAATAAAATTGCCAACTTAACAATGTAACTTGCAGTATAGTTTCCTGCAGAAGTTTTCTTTACAGCACTACTGTTGGGAGTTTATACTGCCATTAAAATCCACTATCTGTTCAGTTCAACCAATGTTCCACTGACATATGATATGCTATATTATGTTACATCATATTATTGTAGAATCATAGGGTTGGAGGTCCTCTAGTTCAGTCCTATTCTCGGTGCATTATCTACATTGTGTGGGATACAACTGCGGTACCTCTGACCAGTCACTAGCTAGCTGCTATTTAAATGCTCCCAGTGAAGGAAATGTTTCCACCAACTCCTGAGACATCCTGTTCCATTATCAGACAGCTCTTACTGTTAGAGAGTTTTCCTGAATGTTTACCCAAAAATCTCCTGCCTTCCCATTTCCACTCATTATTTCTAGTCCTACTTTCTGGACCATTCTGATCCATCTCCTACATGACACACCTCACAAGTGCTCCTCAATCTTCCCTTCTCCATGCTAAGCATACCAAACTATTTCAACTGTTCCTCATAGGGTTTCCAGGCCCCTCCCTATCTAACTGGATAGTGGACATCTTCTGCTTGGTCAATGTCACTCTTAAAATGTGGTGCTCAGAACAGGACACAGTATTCCAGATCTGGTCTGAGCAGTGCAGAACAGGATGGAACTATTACTTCTTGTCATTATATAGAATTATTTCATTCCTTTTCTTAGGATAGATTAGACAAGTAGTTTAGAAGATCAACATCTCAAGAACCTACATGCACCTCGTGTTTCAAGTTGTGTAGTTTTGGGCTACACCAATATATGGTAAATCTAAGAGGATAATACAATCACAAGTTATGCTCATCTTCTTGTGTGTCAACAGAACCCCCAAGAAATGTAGCACAGTTGTGTCAGTATTACATGATACCATCACAACCGTTACAGTGGCTGGCATGGGGCAAGCCACAAAAATGGGTGCAATCTGGGTATTCAAAGAGAGGAGGACTTAGCCAGGAATCAATACTTTCTCTGAGATCAGAGGCACTCCAATACTGATGTAACATGATACCTGCAATGTCTGGGAGTGCCCAGATGACAGCCTCACATCCTCCTCCACCTCTTTCCACAGTTACAATGAAAGATAACATTGTGGCCAATCATGTAGCAGAAGAACATGCTAACTGATGTCTCTGCTATCTGGTTCTGGGTTCATTGAGCAGATCCCATAGCATTGTATAGTTTGGGGGGGGGGAATGGGTGCATTTTCCTAGCAGAAGTGTGTCAATAGGAAGCCCCACTGATCCCATTAGCCTATGGCTGCTTCTTCTTACCTTTCTGCCTCCATGTGATTCAAATCGGCTCCTCAGATCTTCCAAAGGGATATCAAAGCGCTCTATCTTGCGACGGATGCCTGGAGGCCCTTCCTTGTACACCTCAGGGGAGGGGTTGTTTTTGGCCATGGTTCTGGGTGGCTCGACAGCAGTGATTTTAATCCTGAAGTCAGCTGTGAATGCTCACTTCCTGCTTTCCTCCTGCAGAGTCCCCAATTTCCTCCACTATCCAAGGCTGTTATTTCAGCTAAGAGTCAGCAATCACTCTCCTCTCATCTGGATCTTGTGAACATCAGCAACAGAGGACTACAGTGGAACTGCACAACACTTGGGGAGCCAGTCCTTTGTATATCTTCAGTTCCGTATGAAGCATGCAAGATGCCTTCAGAAGCAGATATTTGGGCAGCACCAGGGTGAACTGAAAAGAGCAATTGAATTATTTAGTCATCATGGCACATGAAAGAAGCCCCGAGATATCTCTAAAGCTAACCTGTCCCAGTGTGGTGCCCTCATAAGAAAAGTGAGGTTAGAATCATTTGGATCCATTATTCCACAAGAGCTTAAATAAGGCCAGAGTATCTTGCAGAGTGAGTCTGTCAATGGCATAAGCAATTCTCCACCCCATAAAAACGAAAATAATGGGACACAGAATTCTGAAAACTGTAGAAACCTGAAATATTTATATGTTTAAAACATATTTAGCCTGCTCTTCGCTGCAAAGTAATTTCAAAACAGAGCATATTAGAAGCAGATAAATTGCACATCAGATGCACAACCAACCAATCTGACATTAAACCCCAAGAAAGACCTAGGCAAAACTTACATTTTTAATTGGTGCTGGAGATTTAACTCTTTGTGCCATTCATATCTCAGTTGGGAGTTAAAAAGCTGGGACATTAGATTTTTTTTTCATTCATTGAAATTTGTTGTTTTCATATACAGCAATGTGTTCCTTGGCATCTTTTTTTGGGGGGGGAGGGGCATCCTTTATTCTCAGCTTGCATTTCCTTTGCCAAATATTATGTTCCTTATTTGTTCTCCCAATTTGGAGATGACTTCCCTTTTCCAAAGGAAGCCTTTTCGCCTCTAATACCTTCTTTGACTCTTCTCTTTAACCACATAGGCATCCTCTTGGCCCTGGTGGTACCTTCCTTGATCTGTGGTATACACTGAAACAAATATTTAAACGATGCATTGTTTATCATTTTATTACAACTGTTGTTAATTTTTAAGGGGCTGGATATGGGGCACATTTCATGTTGTTTGCCCTGGGAGCAAAGATACCCAGTTCTGCACCCCATCTCAATTCCTGCACTTGCGTGAGTCATAGTAAGAGCAGTTTATGTGCATGCTACAGTAGTTCTATGTTAGCATAGCTGACAGGCCTGAAGATCAGGCTCCTCAGGAGTCTGCAAGGTTACGGATCCAGTAGACACACAACTGCTGGACCCTTGCCCTGAAACAGCTACTTTCCACAAGAAAACTGTAGATGGTAGCTTGTCCCCCTGCCTGGATGTAGCTAGGTCCTCTACCATGGCAGACCTCAAGGAAATATAACCATGGTGCTCTTCAAAAGGAAGATATGCAGAATTCTAACTGCCCCCCAAGCGTCAAAGGTGCAGCAGAGGGAGTAGGATTGCACGGTAAATGTATCTGCTGAAAATATAATTGTCTATAGTGCAGATGAAAGCTATAGGTAGCTGAGAAGGCCCGTTTGTAATAGAAATCCAAATGTAACAGCAGGGTAATGCACAACACTCTAACACTGCTGTTACTTTTGGACTGTTTTATTAGAAGCAACTAAAAAGTCCCAGGGAATTGAGCAAGCGCTTGATTTCTTCCACTAACTCCCATTCCGTTGATAAAGACAAACCATTATTTTAGAGTTGTCACTAGCAGATAAACCCCTACACATCCCTCTGACTTTTTCTGGCACAATCTAACTAAATAATCTTGAGCTGATTCAGTTCGATATTATTGGGGCAATATTTTCAATATCCTGCCACCTATGTTTGCCCGGTGGGAAATCTCGACTAAGAAGCAGCTGCCTTTAAAATCTTAAGGATTGTAGCTGTAATGCATGCCTTTTCATCCAAGAAAAGGCATATATCAGGAAGAATGTTGCAGGCTAAGAAGGATGCAGAAGGGACATGTACTTATTAGGACTTGATAGTAAATTATAGGTCCCTTCCTCCCTTCTGCCAACTGTTCATCTTGTCCACGCTGCCTGCAGCTCTCTGCCTCCTGTGAGCAGGTAAACTACAGCCAAACAAAAGAGCCAAACCAGGATGTGAGCACTCCACAAGTACAATGACAGATAGTGCTTATACTGCTCCTTACATGGGGTTAGGCTTAGTGTTAGGCCACATTCACACCATACAATTAAAGTACAATGATACCATTACGATAAACAGCGATGGCTCTCCCCCAAGAATCCTAGGAGCAGTGCTTTGTTAAGGGTGCTGAGAGTTGTTAGGAGGCCCCTATTCCTCCTACAGTTCTACAGTTCTCAAAGTGGTTTAACAATCAATCACTCTTCACAGGAAACTCTGTGTCATGAACTGGCAGGACGACGGGGAGAAGGAAGAGGATCCTGGCAAGGAGTGCAGAGGACTACAGTGGATCCTGGCAAGGGACTGGGACACACCGGGGCAAGCAGGGGATAGGGAAGAAAGTACTCACAGAGTGATGGAGGATGACAAGGGGATGGGGGTCAATGTACAGGAACCAGAGGCAGGAGGAGCCATCACCAGAGGGCCTCCTGTCTTCAGCTGGGGGCACTGTTATACAGTGGTTCCGCTCCTTCCTCCTGGGCCGTGTTCAGAAAGTGGTGGTGGGGGATGAGTGTTCAGACCCCTGGGCTCTCACTTGTGGGGTGCCTCAGGGTTCTGTCCTCTCCCCCATGCTTTTCAACATCTACATGAAGCCGCTGGGAGAGATCATCAGGGGATTTGGGCTGGGTGTTCATCAGTATGCGGATGATACCCAGCTCTACCTCTCTTTCAAATCAGAACCAGTGAAGGCAGTGAAGGTCCTGTGTGAGTGCCTGGAGGCGGTTGGAGGTTGGATGGCGGCTAACAGATTGAGGTTGAATCCTGACAAGACAGAAGTACTGTTTCTGGGGGACAGGAGGCGGGCAGGTGTGGAGGATGTTGGTTTCTATTTCCCTCACTGAGCAGCAACTGCAGTCACAAGACATTGTTTTACATTCCACAGTCTGTACTGTTGGAGTTTCTCACGGGAAAGGGAGACTGGATGTGACGTACACTGGTTTCCTGTTTTTTCACTGTGTGATTCTCTCCAAGCTGTCGAGGAGAGAGGATGCATTTTTCTGCTCTTGCAGAGGCAAGATGTCTTTCTGTAATATACCAGCTTTGAACTGTAAATAAAGCTATATGGAGTATGGAGCACGTATTCTCATCCTTCCGCTGGGCACGACAGACTCTGCTTTAAATCAACACGTGGTTATGGACTCCAGGAATCGAATCGCAGTGCCGGCAGAGGATCGGAATGCAGAGGGAGGACAGATCGGAACGGAATCTGCTCTGCGCGTAGAAGTGATTGATGAGGTATGTGCTACTGCTCCGGGCAGCCTGCCAGCTTCAAGTTAATGGCTTTATGGCTGGACTTTGAACTTTTAAAGCCGGTTTTGCCGGGAATAGGCAAAAGGCTCCCAGGCACAAGTCACTATGCTGGGGAAATCTACAGTAACTTTTAAGTGTGCCTTTGTAATGAGGCAGCTGCAGCAGTGACGCAGCAAGATTTAAAGCAGCACAGATATGACGCTGAAGGCTAATGCCAGAGTCATGATGGCCCTTCAGGATGCTTGTAGGATTCCTAAGCTCAACAAGAAAAATTACAGCGACTGGGTTCAGTATGCAGAGGCAATTCTGCGGAAAGAGGGTTTGTTTGAGGTGATTACAGGAACCCCCAGTTCCAGTTACAGATGCATGGGAAGCTAAGGATTCCAAAGCAAGGGGAACTCTTACATTGATAGTATCCCCAGAAGAGCTCTGTCTATTGCGTGATAAGACCTCAGCCAGAGAAATTTGGGACGCTCTGAAAGAGGCTCACTTAAGGACAGAAGCTGGATCCACTATGTATTATTTTAACAAGCTGCATAATATGGCTCTTGCTGAAGGTGGAGATGTGCGTTTACATCTAATGGAGATGCAAAATCTGAGACATGAGCTGCAACAGAGAGGACTCAACTTTCCAGAGGCTGTGTATTCTTTCATGATACTACAATCTTTGGGTTCAGGTTGGGAGTCTGTTGCAACCCAGATTGCTGTGCAACCAACTGCTCAGCTGACAGTGGACTTTGTTACTGCCGTGATTTTAAATGAAGCAGATCGCCGGGGTGCTAGCTGCATGGGCAAGGAGAGTCTTCACAGACGTCATCCCATAGTGCAGTGGAACCACCAGATGGCGCCAAAGCTTTGAAGGCAGTCAAATGCTACTCGTGTGGACGTCTAGGCCATATGAAGAGGGAATGCAGACATCCCAGGGCCAAGACAGAGCAGCGCAGCGAAAGCTCATCGCGCGGAAAAGGCCGAGGCAAAGGCAAAGGTCCGGTGTCTAGGACAACGCAGCACAAGGCTATGGTTTCACGCTTCACTCCAAAGGTTGCAGAGGTCCAGAAGACGTCTAGATCTTTCTTCGTTGTTGATTCAGCGGCCACCCACCACATGTGCAACGATAAGAAACTGTTTGTGTCTTTTACACCGCAGGAAGGTGCGATTCACCAGGCGGATGACCACACTATTCCCAGTAAAGGCTACGGAACTGTTGTTCTTCACAGTTTGGACTTATCGATACAGAATGTGCTTTACGTGCCAGACGCCAAACATAATCTGCTCAGCGTTGGACAGCTGAATGAGCGGAACATTGACGTTTCCTTCAAGAACAAGAAGTGCATCATCACAAAGAAAAATGATTATGTATTGCATGCAGAATATGTTGATCATTTGTTTGTTTTGTATTATGATGATGTGGTGCAGGATGACACTTGTTGCATTGCAGGTTCTAACAAAAGTTTGCATGCAGAATGTATTCACGATTTTCATCGCAAATTTGGTCATTTGCATTTTGAGGCAGTATCTAAAATGCCTGCCTTGGTTGAAGGTATGACTATTAAACCCTGCAGGTACCACATGAAGTGCAAAGCATGCGCAGCAAACAAGGTGAAAATGGCTGCGAAAGGTAAGGTGTCTAGTAGGAAAGCTACAGAACCATACCAGGTTGTTCATGCTGATTTGGTTGGACCACTTGCGCCCTCTTTGGGTGGAAATAGATACTTCATGGTTCTCATTGATGCATTTTCTAGATATATTTTTGTGTACAATCTCAAGCAGAAATCGGAGGCTTTTCCTAGGTTCAAGGAATTCTGTGCTTGGTTGGAAAATGTGCATGGTAAG